GAGAATAAAGAGAGAAGCCACAGACTGACAGAAAATGTGTGCAAAGGACATATCTGATAAAGAACTGTTATCCAAAATAAACAAAGACTTTTAAAACTCAGCAATAAAAAAACAAAACCATCAAAACTGTGCCAAAACCTTCATGCACATCTCACCCAAGAAGAAGTGCAGATGGCAAATAAGCCCATGAAAAGATGCTCTATATCATAAGTCATGAGGAAAATGAAAGAATGAGATGCTACTACACAACTATTCCAGTGGCTAAAATCCAGGACATTAGAGATATCCAACACTGGAAAGAATGTCAAGCTACAGTAACACTCATTTATTACTGGCTGAAATGCAAAATGATATAGATACTTTGAAGGCAGCATGATGATTTCTTTCTTTTAAAACTAAACATATTCTTACTATCTGACCCAAGAATCACATTCCTTGGTATACACAAAATAATTTAAAACATGTCTATACTTACATTTCCATATAAAACTTGAAAGCAACCAAGATATCTTTCAGAGGTGAACAAATTGTGTTATATCTGGACAATGAAATAGTATTCAGCACAAAAAGGAATGTACTTCAAGCCTTAAAATGCATGGAGGAATCAATAAGTGAATGAAGTCAACATGAAAAGTTTCGACTCCGACTCTTTCCATTGTGGAAAGGGCAAAATTATGGTTATTATTAAAAAAAAAAATCAGTGATAGGCAAGGGTTAGGGAACGGAAGGATGAACATGGAGGATTTTTAGGACAGGGTAACTACTTTGCATGATAATATAATGGTGTTTACATGTCATTATACATTTGTCTAATCCCATAGAATACATAACGTGTGTAAACCCTATGTGAAATACAGATTTAGACGAGTATGAGTTATTGTTGGTTCATGATCTCTAACAAATGTGCCATTCTTGCAGGAAATGTAGGTAATGGCGAGGGGGTTGGAAAGAGTATATATGATAAAGCTCTGAAATTTTACTCAGTTATGCTGAAAACATAAAACTGCTATAAAAATAAAACCTATTTAGGCAATTTGTACACATGCATACACATACAAACATGGAACTGGCATAGACCTATTGTCAACTTAACAGTAAACTGTTTAAGTCTACATTTCTGCTTCCCAGTTAAATTTTTAGCTATTTTTACCTAGAGATGCCTTAATATTTAGTATGACAGAACTTTACCCATAAGGATTATGTAGTCACAAATTGTATCTGAAAATATTTGTTCCTAAAATGACAACAGAATTTTAGTTATTCAGAGCAAGCTATAAGCATGAACTACTAAGGTCAGTGAAATCATTGTATCCGATAATTTTATAAAGCCATTGACCATTCCAAGCAATCCTTTATTAGCTGTCATTATTTACATGAATAGTGCACATACCCTTTAATTCTGATGTTTTGTTCAACCCCTTTTCTCCAAAGCAATATCTACTGCTGGAGTCAAACTATTAGCAATTCATCTCAAGTCCTCAATATAACCTTGGTCTTGAGAGTTGTACAGATGAACTACACAATAATCTATTATTTTTCCTGTGCCTGTAACTGCATTCCTCTAAGTGAGCTCTACAATAGACCTCAATACATATTTTGGTTACATAGCACTATAAGTTATCATGTCTTCTCAATAAGATGGACACTGGTCCATTTCTTTTAACAATGATAATTAACACTTACACAGCAATTTTCACTTGCTATAACTGTGGTCATTCTGCTTATAGTATCTGATCTCCTCCAGCCCCACAAATAGCTATGCAGAATCTTCTGTGTTTGTGGCATCCTGCTAAACAACTAAAAGAACTATTATTCTCTGAGCTTGCAATCATCTCAACCCAGCAGGGAAAATTTCTCTGGCCACGAAGCCTAGTGCCCACGTTACTTAAAATCACTGTTGATGCTCATACCTTCAGGCCTTTAATCCCTGTTATCATTGCCACATAAGAAGAATGCAAATTGCTTACCCTTCTCAATAGTTTTTACTCTATGGCATCAAACTGTGCCTATAATTTTCTGTAATTTGTGACCCATGACTGTTTTCTTCTCTTCTTCAACTTTTCTTGCTGAAATTGCTTATCTACATTCACCAACACCCCTTTACATTACTAGTCTCTTAATTCCTTTCCTCTAATTGCAACTGAAACCTAAATTTTGTCTGAAAAATTAATTTTTCTACCTTTAAAAATTATTCTTTTTCTGGTGCGGTGGCGCATGCCTGTAATCTTAGTGGTTTGGGAGGCTGTGACAGGAGAATTATGAGTTCAAAGCCAGCCTCAGCAATGATAAGGTGCTATGCAACTCATTGAGAGCCTGTCTCTAAATAACATACAAAATAGAAGTGGGGATGTGGCTCAGTGGCCAAGTGCCCCCAAGTTCAATTCCTGGTAAACCCTCCCCCCAAATTATTTTTTGGAAGATTTAATCCGGAGGTGCTTTACCACTGAGTGACACCCTCAATCTCCAGCCTTTTTTCTTCTTTTCTTCTTATTTTGAGACAAAGTCTTGCTAACTGCTTAGAGCCTAAGCTGCTGAGGCTGGCCTCAAACTTGTGATCCTTCTGCCTCAGTCTTTTGAGTGGCTAGGATGACAGGCTCTTGTGAAAAATCTTGTTAATTTAAAATTTATATCATTGATACTGTGGTGAAGATTACTAAAAATCCATTTTCTCTTTTCTCTTATAGTCACTAAGCATCCATTTCTCAGATACTCTTGCAAGAAGATGTGGTTATATTATTAAGGTATAGATAATAGAATGCTAATTTTAAAAAAATGTGATGTGAGCCCTTTTAGACAAAGTCTCTTATGGAATTGATGGGCATCCACTGTGTTTTCTTCACTTGTCTACTGGCTAGATACAGATGAGAAGTAACCTATTGATATTGAAACCCAACAATAGAAGGAAACTTGGATCCTCGATTCAGTACTTGGAAGAAAGCTAATCATCTGCTAACCAGGAATACCTGCCATGGACAGGGGAAAATAGTAGCAGTAAACAAATTGCTATTGTGATTGAACCATGAAAATTGTGGGCTCTCCCTTTTGAAGCAACTGGTATTGCCCTTGTCTGCATGTAACAAACCCTTCTCATTGCCATCTTTTGACTCTGGTATAGTCCATCTCATTTACTGGAGACTGTGACACAGAATAAGCAATTTTTCTCCCTATTTAACCCCAATGTCATCACGAGCAACTCTGCTTGACAACCTATCACAAACCATTGCCCTCTCACATCCTTGACCTCTAGTTTCAAATTGTTTCCTCCTTAACCTCAACTTCATTATTCACCTTCAAAACATAGTTCGGAAACTGTCAATGCCTATAACTCCTCTTTCTTCAAAATCATTAATCAGATTTCCACATTACCAGAGTCTCCTACCCATGTCACCAATTTGTTCAAGTAGTTCTGTCATGGCTATTAATTGATTTCATCCTTTCTTCATTGCCTTCCACACCTACCTTACATTCCATGGTACTTCATGTAAATACTATTCTGATTTTCATTACCTTTCTGAGTTTCAATCACATCTACCCAGTGAAAACCCAAACCTGCAGGAATTTAGCTGTCTGCCTTTCCTCTGATGTAATATCTAGAAAAAAGAGCACTAATGAACAAGACACAACATGGAAGACCATGTATAAATATGCAGTCACTAATCTCTAATTAACCTTCAATACATTCAGTAATATAAAGACCAAACTGACATCTCCTCTCAAATATGTCAAAGGCATGCCAAAAGAACATTTCCACAACTCATATAGTATACATTTACTACAAATATGTTCTTTCAGCACTATCTCAATAAGTAGCTTACCCCTTAGCTAAATATGCAAACAAAACTAGCAGACATTCTTGATCATCTCCTCCTTACAATTTCCAACATTAATCCCTTTTCAATACTTGTTGATAGTACTTCCTAACAGTCTATAAACTTTACCCCATATTTCCTGTCATCACTTTAGCTCAAAATAATATCAGATTGCCTGGAGTAGTTCTTACAATACTTGCAATTTTATTTAAGAATTATTATCTGGTTATTATCTGTATGCTTACTAGACTGTAAGCTCTGTTCATTTTCATTATTTTTATATGCAGCATTTTGCAATTTTTTCTTTCCTTATAATGACTTGATAGATATTTGCTGAATAAATGGTAAATGGCAAAATTAATAAAGGTAAATAAATATCATAATTATTATCACAATTATCATATACATATATGAAGAAAGTAATCATGTAAGAAAAAAAAACAGAGCATAAAAAACCTGGATCCAAATTTACATCTCTTCAATTTCAATGACTCCAACTCCTGAGTATATTTTCATTCATGAACTGTGATGCATATTGAACTTTATGGAAAGCTCTTCTTTTATTAATTATAATAAAAACTCACATTTATCTCTTTTAATACAATTATCTACATATTCAGAAAATAATGTGCCTTAAAAAGTGCACTGAAAATAGTCTAAAAAGAAATATTTTAATTTTGTAAATGGAAATGTTTATGAGCTCACACTCCAAATTATGATTGATACCAAAATGTATCCAAAGTATATCATGCTAGAGGAAAAGGGATTAGAGCATAAAATAAGACAAACTGACATTTCAACGGTTGTTTTCTAACATTAATTAATTTTGCCAAGTTGTAGATACTGCACTAATAAATTTATATGTGCTGTAAAATAGAAACCATTATTATCCCAATTTTACAGATAAGAAAATAGAGAATTAGAGGAAACAATCAAAGCCAGGAGTCAAATCTAACTTGTATAGGATTCCAGAAGCACTTAACATTAAATTGTCTTCCAAAGAAGTAGTTAAGTCTTTCATTTTGAGTCATTACTTAGTGAAAAATGGACTAAAACTTTTTTTTTTTTTAGTTCTAATAGCATTTGATAATGAGACATTTTAATTATAATCAGATGGGAAAAGAAAACAGTATGTACATTATAAAACTTAGCTTTTCCAGGATATTTAAGGAGCAAATTGTTTAGTCTTACCCATGAATTCAATCCCCAAGTGGTCTGCTACACCGAAGTCAGCATGGGAAGAAAGGAAACAGAAAAAGAGAAAAAGGTTAGAAAGAAATCCACATAAGAAAATCAGTGCTTACAAGACTGACCTTCCTAGGCTAGGAATGTGTCTCAAGTTTAACCACGTTTTTTTCAGAAATGTAAATTTCAGATATTGATCAACATTTCCCAAAGTCACTGAACTACAGCTTGGAATTTCAGATGGAATAATTATGCATCAGTTACATAGCATACTAAATATAAATTAAGTGAAAAAAATGGAGAGAGAGAAACTATGTAAATAAAACATACCTCACACTAATGTTATTTGCTGAATCTATCATATTCTATATAGATTAACTACTTGTTCAACATTAACACATTTGGAACTCTGGGATAATAAGAATGACATGACCCTAACCAAGCAATGACAAGCCCTAACTAGGTGATCTGCACATCAACAAAACAGGAATGCTGGACTGAGGAATATAGCTCAGTTGGTAGAGTGCTTGCCTTGTATGCACAAGGCCTTGGGTTAAATCCCCAGCACCAAAAAAAAAAAAAAAAAAAAAAAAAAAAGAAAGTAATGCTATTAGACTTTTTATGATCATTTTTTAATTTGCCTCATGAGGAACCTATTATGGTTAAGACTAAAAAGTTCACAAAGTTTCAGGCAGATCTTGGGCACAAATCCAGTGCTTCTGACCCTCAAGACCCAGGACTACTCAACTTGACAGCCCCATTCTGTTGAAAACACATGGCCGATGTGTCTACTTCTATTCTCTGTGCTTGTGGATACTGGAGAGTTTCAACAAACCAAAGTACACTTATGATGAGCAGGTTAATGAAGTGCACTGGGTAAAACCTTATTTATTTAAATGGTGCTTGCTTTCTTTTAATCTTCCTATTTTGTACTTATTTGATTTTTATGTTTATCACATTACTTGTTTTCTAATGCAGTAATATTTATCTGAAATAAGTGGGAAAAAGTATTTATGTGACTATTTGCTCCTAAGACAACTGAACATTTTATGAATTCTGTTCAGCAGATAAGCATTTCCATTTTAAAAAAGTAGTTTCCTTTGAATATTTAAATACTTCTCCTGTTTATCACTAGTTCACTTTTAATTTTTTTTGTGCTGAAATATGTATGTGCCATAAAATTTGCCATCTTCATCATTGTAAGCACATTATCCAGAGGTGTTAACTATATGCACAATGCTTCATGATCACCACCACTATATTTCCAAGATTTTTCCATTACCCCAATCAAAATCTCTGTATCTCTTTTCCCTTGTCTACCACCCCTGGAAATCTCTACTCTACTTTCTGTCTCTGATGAGCCAATATGCCAACAAAAATCTAATTTTTAACTTATTAGAACCTATTTCCATTGAGAAATGTCTGCTTTTACAAAGAAAGATGGTGATTGTTTCTAAAAGAGACGCAGCCCTTTCTTGGCACAATGTTTTTCAACTGGCTGCTCTCTGCTGATGTATACTATGATCCATACCTGGCACATTTTCATGAGCAGGCAGAATCTCATTCTCATTGAGTTTAGAAATCAGTTGAAGACCACAGAGAAAAACTTCTGGTCATTCTTTGCAATAAGTATTATAATGGAAAAACAGAAAATGTGCCTTGACTGGAGAGGTGAGGGACTCATAAGCTTGTTCCTGGGAGGGAGAGAATGTGCAATACAAAAGAATTGGTTTTGTGGAAATACTGACAAGAACATGTTGTGTTCTTGTACAAATTGGAAGCTTCGGGACTCTGTGCACATAAAACTTCGAAGAAATCCTCAAGTTGTAGTATTTAAAAATAAGGATTTGGATGATATTACTTGTTATAAGACTAAAGATAAGGAAGAAGACTGAATAAAAGGAAAATTTTATTCAGAAGCAAAAGAACAGAAAAGAAATCAAGAGAGGGCTATTTATAGGAAATCAGGGAGCAAAACACCCCAAATACTTGACCACAGACGTTGGTCCATTCAGCTGGGATGTCAAAAAGTCACTAATCTCAGGCTGGTTGAATAAGAACTTTCCAGTGAATCGGAGATGGCTCAACTGACTGCCTATAGCCTGTTTTTCTGGCAAGTGAACGAATGACTATTTTTCATTCTTCCACGACCTTCACCGTTTCACCTCTGTGTATAACAGGACATGGAGAATTGGGATTTTGTGAATGTGTAGATTATATTAAAAGTGAGAAGTATATTTGATAAATCAGAGGCCAATCTGAACAGCTTATAGGCACATTGAATTCATGATAGTAGCAAAGACATTAACTGGAATGGAAAATTACTCAAACACTGAAAGGTAAAAGTAGATATCTTGAGAAAAAAGAGAACTGCCCTTGTTGTTTTTGTTGTTACCAGCACTGAACCCAGGGGCAATGAACAACAGAGCCACTGTTGGGGAATTCTTTTTATTTTTTATTTTGAGAAAGTTGTTTAGGGTCTCCCTAAGTTACTGAGACTGGCTTTGAGCTGGTGATCTCCCTGCCTCAGCCTCACAAGCTGCTGGGATTTCAGGTGTGTGCCACTGCACCCAACCTGTCTTAATATAAAAATTACATGAGGTTATTGGAGCTGTAATGGCTTCAGTAATATAAAAATTACATCTGATTAATGGAGCAAGGTCGCATTTATATTATTGGACATTAAAGGGAAATTATTTACTAAGTTCTATAATGGCTTATTCATGGAAGCTGACATCACTGAACATATAAATTCATTTGCTAAACACTGTGCTACTATTACAGATTTGAAGACACTGATAGGTTATGGCTCACACAGAAGGATCATGAAAATCCATGAAGAACAGATGACAAAATAAATTAATTTGTTATGTGAATCATATGCTGAACACAAACCACAATTTCACAGAACCCTTCACTTGCTATTTTTCAAACCAAAAACCTGCCTGATGATATTCAGGCCAGCAGCACAACTTCAAGAGGAATGAAAGGAGAAGTAATCTTTTATAGTTCTTTTATTCATTTACTAAACAAATTATATGCCAAGAACTGAATCAATACTGGGTTGGAAGAGAAGACACACAACTTAAGCAAAGTCCATTTGATTTTCCATACAGCATGCATAGTTTCCACTTTTCAACACACCTTTGGGTTATCTAGCTGTGAATAACATTTACTAAGCACTTATTATGTACTAGGAACTGCTTTAAGTAGTATCTCACAGTAACTTATGAGATTGTCACTGCACACACTTTACAGGTGATGAACAGATGTACAGAGAGGTTAACCAACTTTTCCCAATCCAATATGCTTGTAAGCAGTGGGAACATGATTGAGCCTAAGCAGCTTGACTCAACCGCCAATTATACTCAGAGTTCACATATGCCCTCCCTGTGAAAAATCATCTAGTGTTTAGAAAGTCATCAGGTAATTGGCTCTTCAGGGAGGAATAATTTAATCCACTTAAGAGAACAAGTTGTTCTCAAAAATCCTCAGGCACAGTTGAAGCACCACTTAGTTACTTGCTTGGCCTTAGTTCATTGATAAAGTGCCAAAGGAGTCAAACAGGCAAATAGTTACTATTCATTCTTTAGTTACCAAGAAAATTTCTTCATGATGAAGCTGACCTATTTATTTTCGCAACAGCAAATGATTAAAAAGTTTTGTCTGAAATATTCCAAACGTTAATCCAAATAATCTTAAATTTGGCATTATATTTAACAAATACCAGCAGCTCTGCTGCAGATATGAAATATTCTTAAGGTGTCAGGACAAATATAACTCATAATAAATATTGTACAACACATACCAAAGTTAGACAAAATGAATATTCTATAATGTCAGAATTTCTGGAATGCTAGAAACTCAAGCCCCAAATTATTCCTTTTTATACTTTTTTATCAAAGTTATATATATTTACGGTGTACTACATGATGTTTTAAAATAAGTAGCCTTGTTAAATGGCTAGTTTAAGCTAAGAAACATATGCTTACCCCATATATTAGCTTTTCTGTGTAATGAGAATGCTTAAACTCTACTAGTATGAATTGTCAAGTACAATCTGTTGTTATTAATCATGTCACCACATTGTACAACAGATCTTGACTTATTCTACATCTAGCTGAAATTTGAGGTTCTCACATATTTCTGAAGTGTGCAGCATTCAAAACCCTTGAGCAATTTAAAACCTGTTCTTTGTCTGCTGATGGATAATGAGAGGCTACCTGAAATTCCCCCAGAGTAGGCAGACTGAGAAAAAGCAAGCAAAAACAATCCTGGATTCAATTCCAAACTCAGTGCAACACAGTGCAGGATCAAACTGGAGGAATGTGGCTTTCAGCACCAATTTTGTGTTAAAAGTAACTTAAGGCAACTCTGTCATAGAAGAGTCCCAAATGTGATCATGTAAGCCACTGTTCCAAGGGATGTGGAAAAATATGTTACATGAAAGTCTGTAGATCTGTATCTTAAAAGGTTAAAATACTGGCTTAATGTTCAAAGAGCGGCTCCAATGCAAGAAATCCCCCAAAGTCTTCTGCTGTATGTGGTAGTGAGGTTCCTGCTGGGAGTTCAGGAGGCAGCCTTTCCCAGCTTGAGGTAAATATTTGCATGGTCCTGTAGTACCCTGTGAGCCAGTGATCTGCAATGCCCACTCTGGGAACTGCATGCCATAGAAGTGTGGAGCATATCACCCACTCCATTACAAAACATGTCGGTTATAAACGGTTTATCTTAATAATGGAACTGAAATCTGCCACTCTGTAGATTCCACCCACAGATCCCTATCAAATGAATTTTCTCTGGTGACACTCTGGGAAGAAGTCGTCCATCTTTAGAGAGAAGACGTTAGCTTTAGATGCATAAAGATAGTATGTTGGGTACTGAATATGTGCTGATCTTTAACACCCGAGTTCCTCATTCTCTAGTAGTTTCTAGAATCACTGGAAAGATCTGTAATTGTCTCTGGCTGCAACAGTGGATCCATGTATCCTTCTCCTAAATGAGATCATAGACAGAGTGATGAGATGTCATTT